TCTTTCATCTGTGCCAATCCGCTGTCCTCATTCCCAAATATCTAAACCTTTAATAATTAAAATGCTTTATTTTGAATAAATTTGACGGTATAATCAATCACAAGGATTAGGCTGGCTTCTCAAAACTGGACTAGAGTAATTACAATATTTCACACATACATGTTACACATACATATTCTGAACTCTTTCATCTGTGCCAATTTGCTGTCCTCATTCCCAAATATCCAAACCTTTAATAATTAAAATGAAATATTTTGAATAAATTTGACAGTAAGTTTGTAGCAAGCAATCAATAACATGGATCAGGAAAAGGCTTCTCAAAACTCGACCAGAATAATTACAATATTTCACATAAACATCAGAAATTCCATTTTGTATCCCGAAAAAGGGACCTGCATGTGGCGCAGTTAGATGGTAATTGATAATGCCTGTATAAGAAACCTCCTATGTGGGCCAATATTCAATTTACATGTAAATCCTAAACCCAAGCCAAGGATGAGAGACTAACATCAGGGCTTCTCAACGTTAATTATTGATGGCTGTAAATTGAAAAGAAATAAGCGTATGCACTGTGCAATGCATCATGAAAAAAGGGGGAAAGAGAGTAGGGTCTACCGAAGAACAAATCTAGAAATATCTTGAAGAGAACTAGATGTATACAGAGCGAAAAGCATCATGAAAACTGAAAGGATGGGAAAAGGTGTACTAGAGACTGATGGCCTGTTCAGACTCAAAATTTAAACCAAACATAGAAACGTTGTATAAAGAATCGTCATATAGTGAAAGGGATGTACAAACAGGAGAACAATTTTGTATTAAAAGGTGTATGGGAGACTGATGGCCTGTTTAGACTAAAGAAATTTATACCAAACGTATATAAAGAAACATTGTATAAAGAATTGTCATATAGTGAAGGAGATGTACAGATTGGGTATAGACCTTGCATAAAGAAACGTCATATAAAGAAATTATTTTTAAAGAGGTCATTTGACAGCTATTCATCGGACTGCAATGAGACCCTGGTTCTTTTTCCACTTTTAGTTTTATGATGTTAATTCTAGAACAAGATTAATTTCTTATTGTACAGCTATATGATTTTTGTACAGGCATACAATTAATTGTTGCTTAGGCTGAACCAAACAGGGACTGATTGAAGAATTCTGAAGATAATGCATAATATTAGTAAGGTCACAGAGGCAAAAAGGGGAGCTTTTCTGATATCTTCTTTTATGCAATATCATAAAAGAAACAACTGTAAACTCTACTGAGAGGTCGCTCAAAAAGGTCTGCATATTTTGAGTGGTATCACTGATGTCTGCTTGGATAGGAAATGCCCCACCACCAAAAACTAAACACTAAAATAAAAAACAAAGTTGAACAAATCAAGAAATAAATAAAAACTTCAGATAAAATTAACCCATGAGTTTGTAAGTATACATGGCTCATTTACCTTATAAATATGTTACACCTCATGGCTCATTAACTTTCTATATTTTTGGTACAACTCCTCACTCCAGAGCATAGGGTCAAATCAATCAAAAAGATACTAAAAGCCAGTTTCTTTAGAACTAACCGCACCTGAAATTCCAATCATTCTTTCAAATACTAGCCTGCGTATAACTTTAAAAAAAGAATGAAACTGTCAACTTTATACATAATGATGAATGACCCATAAGCACAACCAAATGTTAAGGTAAACCTATACTATCGAACAACCACATGAAAATGGTTCAGTTTAATCCTAAGAATCAGTGAAAACGAGGTAAGAAATTTAATACTTTTATGAAGGCATTGGGCCTATTTTTCTAATTATTTTGGTTATAATATCATCAATACCAGCATCCCACCACATAACAACAACAAACAAACAAGCACCCGTTCTGCCCAATCTTTTCAAATGAAACACATTGTATTTTAGCATTACAGTGGAGCAGTGATTTCAATAAAAACAGAACTCTTTGATAGCATCCCATTATGGCACGACCCTTAAGGAAACCGGCGCTAGATTGAAGGTGTTGTAAATGTAAATGTCTCCGGCTTGGAAAGAGATTGAAAGAGACTTGCGATCCCACCACTAAAAGGTTGCCTTCACCAGTGGCAATACAGTCTATCCATCACCTAAGAACCCGTTCAGACTTAAGGACATTCACATGAAACACGTTTATAAAAACGTTGTATGGAGAATCATTGTGTAGCAAAAGGGTGTACAAAGTGGATACAACATCATATACAGAAACTAGTTTAAAAGAGGGCAATTGATATGACAGCTAGGCAGATATGTTGAGAGCTTGAGATAAGCCCCTCCCAGTTAATTAATACAACGTTTTTATAATACAACACCCAGACAAGAACAGCACTCTGACACTTGATTGAATTTTCATTCAAAACAATGCCCGAACATGTGTTTTGTTATACCTTTTCTTATATGTTTTGATGATCAGACTAGCACAAATTCATACTTTTCTACATCTTTTAGCTACTGGTATATGATTTTCGTAAAACTACACAATGAATTTCGGTAGTCCGAATGGGGAGTTGGTCAACACATCACAATGAGAAAACAGAGCTCCTTCGCGGAAACGTAGTATCAGATGTTCATTATTTTGCTTTGCCTCGAGTGGAAAATTATCAGGCCTTTTAAGAAATATTTCGATAATTTTCAAGAAGTATGATTGATGGACGTATATATGTGGTTTTATTCATGCAATATGTTAATTTTAGTATTTGTCTTACTATTTTTAGGATGTTTCATATTGTTTTTGCCTTTGCACATCTGTGTAAAAATACACCAGATGATTGATGCAATGGCTGATTGAATGATTTGTTTTAGTTTTATCTAGGATTATTAATAATGTATGCTGTTATCGCAAGATATCAAATGTATTTATGAGTTTACCTGTGTTCTCTTCCTTTGAATAAGTAATTCTACAAAACCATCAGATTCTCATTTTTGTCTCATTGACAAACAACTCCTTGCTTCTTGAATTTTTTCTCCTTATTTTAATATCATTTAACATGTCTTTATTATAATTGATTGCCTATCACTCTTTCATACTCACTGTTTCACTATCTATCCGTCTGTATGTTCCATTGCCCCCCTCATCCTCCCCTCTCTCCCTCCCTCCCTCCCCCTCTCTCTCTCTCTCTCTCTCTCTCTCTCTCTCTTTGTCTCTTTCTCTCTCTCTCTCTCAGTCTCTCTCTCTCTAATCTCCCTACCTATCTTTATCTATCTTTATCTCTATCTATCTTTAACTCTCTAACTATCTATCTATCTATCTATCTATCTATCTATATATCTATCTATCCATCTATCTATCTACCTACCTTCCTACCTACCTATCTATCTATCTTTCTATCTGTAAATCCTCTTTCTCTAACAATCCCTTCCAACTAGATCTATACCTATACCATTCTCTCTAGAGCAACAGTCTGTATAAAACTCATATCAGTGTACATATTGGAATCTAGGCAAATGGACAAATACTGTGTGTAGGATTACCCCACATAGCACAGACAATATCCAATGATTAATCATTACTGTCCCTCCGGTCCTCAGTATACCACTAATCATATCTAAATTAAATTCAGAGTTGTCCTTCCAACTCAGGAAAAACACACAATTCAATGTACGAGGGATGTAAGATGGAATAATATGAATGACTTATGGCAGGAGATAAATGCGTACCTGGTAATCAAGAATGAGCTAGTATAAGGTCAAGTCCAAAGCATTTTGTCCCATACAATACCAACATCATGTTAAATATAAAAAATATTGAATAGTTCTATAAATGTGATAATAGTAATAATAAGAGAAAGAAGAAGAAGAAGAAAAGAAAATGAGGAGGAGAAGTATAAAGAACGAAGAAGAGAAGAATGAAGAAGAATCTAAAGAAGAATAGGAAGAAGTAGAAAAAAAACTAAGAAGAATATAAAGAGGAATGCAGAAGAAAAAGAAGAAGAAGAAGAAGAAACAACAACAACAAAAAGAAGAAGAAGAAGAAATTTGATACAGTGATGTATCCACTCGACCATGTCACCCATAATACAGTGTAGTACTAGAGTTTGGATCAGACCAAAAACATGAAAAATCACCCTTTGAACGTTGATTTTTTTTTAAATAAATGGTTTGCTGTATTCTTAGTAACCAGGGATGCCCGTTGCAATCGATGAAAGGGCCTAATAATCACCCAGAATGAGCAATTTTGTACACAAATTCTTTTGCCTGAAAACTGGCATCCCTGAGTAATGAATGGGTCAGCAATGTCCAAATCCCCTGGCTTTCTCATGGACTATAGCAACATTTTATGAAACTCATTTTAATATACAGAACTTGACTTCCAACAAAACCATTCACCAATTCCTGTATCAGCTTAATTATGCTACTTCCTATTCGACAATCCAGCATCGAGGACAAACTATGTAAAACCTTGCGGCAATTTGTACAGCAAAGCAGTCTACATTAACACAAATCAAAGGATAATGGAAGGATTATTATTTCAATTACTGACCTTGTCTTATATGAATTCACATATTTCTACAGCTAATTGTAAAGATATTTTTGGTACCAAATAGTTGCTCTTTTTTAATCGTGGGAAAAGGAAAACTTGATGATAGGAGGAGGCCAATATGTTCATGTAGATTCATATTTATAATACAATAAAATCTGCCAATGACAAAAAACTTTATTTCAAGGATAAAGCTGTGCCCCAAAAAACAAGACCTAAACATCAAACTATTTCAGGAAAAAATAGTACCCATCAAGAGAAAGTTCTTCTGAATCTAATATCAAGAGATTGACACCAATATGATTTCCATATGCAGGAATCCCTAAATTTTCCCTCCTGGACCCTGCAATTTCACATTCATGAACAGGGGCCAAGGCCAAATACACATGGACCAGAACTTAAATTGGAATCCCTAAACAGGTTAATGTTTATGACATCTGAAAGGTACATTGAAGATATGTTTTCAAGATGTTTGACAAATTGAATGTTACTTACCTTCCATTTGAGCTTCTCTTAGTTTTCTGCCGGTATCTGCGATGAATAATATGTTGATTAGTACTGTGACCAGTAGTACAGCTAGAAGAACCATCTATAAAAGGAAGAAAATAAAAAAATTAGCATATGATTAAGATTGTGCCACTTTTCAGGAATCTGCATAAAATATAGAAATAACACAGAGCGAGTTTATAACATAAATTGAATGCCAGACTTATTTAAACAGAAAAATCATAATTCTTTTCAATCTGCAGATCACTTGTTGATACATACATTTTGTAAATCACCTGCTGTCATATTCTCTATCTGTCTTTCTCCATCTCTCTCTCTCTCTCTATTCCCTCTCCCATACCCACCCCTCCCTTCATCTTTCCTCCCTCCACCCTCCCCATCTGAGGTCCCCCTTCCCTCTCTTAAACCTTACTTCTTTCTCTCTCTCTCTCTCTCATACATCTTGTTACTTTTTATCTCTGACATGCACCCCTTTTTACTGATTCATCAATCAGAATATTCTTGATACAGCACAAAAAATCAGAAATGACTGTAGAACAAAAACTATGCATTTCACTTCATTGAGAACAGAAGAAGCAATTAACTTCCAGTCTAAAAGTACAGCATATATATAATTTCTCCATGCCCCATTGTAGGTCATCATTACATCTCTCTTCACTATCTCATCCCTTTCGCTCTGTTCTACATGCCTGGCTCACTCACTGACGAGACCTCCTTCTTACCTCACTTGGTTTCAACAGAAAACAGGGATTAATGAACACAAGCTAACCAAGCTACTGTAAATGTCATTCAAGGCATTGAATGACATGCTGGCTGAGAGTGTGGGGATGATGGGGTGGGGATGGGGGGGGGGGGGGGGTTAGTTAAGATGATGGTTAGTTCCTGATATTGACAGAGGATGAGGGAGAAAGAGATAAAAAGCTACAGAAGGAGAGAGATGGGGAGAGAGAGTGAGGGGGTAGAGGTGAGGGTGAGACAGGAGGGATTGAGAGGAGAGGAGAAGAGAGGGGGAGAAAGGAGAGAGGGAGATAGGAGAGGGGGAGAGATAGAGGAAGAGAGAGACGGAGAAAGAGAAAGAAAAATACAGACAGACTGTGACCATGGAGAGACAGGATAACATAATCAGAAAAGCTAGGCACAGAAGAAAACCGTCAGACAAAACAGAAGGACAAATCCCATACAAACATGAAAGGTAAATGGCAACAACAGAAAATAGAGAGTGGATAGAAGGAGTTAAAAGATAAAGAGAGACACAGACAAAGAGAGAAATAGAAAACTGCAACAACAAAGAAGAACAAACAAAAAAGGACATTTCAGAGACCAAACTTCGAGGAATTCACTGTTCCAAAATAAACATCTTGCTTGAAATCATCACAATTCATATCCAACTTTGAACGAAAGGGAACAAAAACATAAAAACGGATCCACGCATTCCCTGGAGCTTATTTTAAACCTGAGAGAAGTTCAGAGCAAACAGAACCCTTCATATTGCATCAATAACCAGAGCAATATTGCCAAGTCTTGCATTTCATATATCGTAAATCCACGCCGCAGCGTATTATTTGCCCCTGCATATCCAAACCTTGAATAATTCGCACTCCAAGAAAAACATCTCGAGGCAGCGACACCGAACTTGCCGAGAAATTGAAATCTCGGGCTGCGATAAACCCATATTCATCTAGATTTCTAATAAATGTCATCTTATATCATGATTTATACATGCTTCCAGGCAAAGATTTGCGGTGGATCATCTTAGTGTAACATATTCATGAAATAATAAGCCCATCTTACGATCTGAAAACTATGATAATGCTTGTGGCTTTTAGAACATTTCAAGAATAAGATATACAGGAAAGAAATGGAGATGGAAGAGGGTTGGAAATCAGATAGACAGAGTCAAGGAAGAGAAGAAGAGGGGAGGAGAATATGGCAGAAGTTAGGAAGCAACAACAGGACAGACAGCAAAGTAAGTCACAGCAAAAGAGAGAGATGGAAAACGAATAAGAGAAATAATGAGAGAGACATGTTTACATGAAAGGAGACAGGAACTTTTAAATAACCTTTTATTTAATATTTTTTGTTTTTCTCAAAGTATAATAGATAACTCTACTAGTGGATAATATGCTTTGAACTGTATTAAATCAGAAGATTGAAAATCATTAACAAATGTATTTTCACCTGATTTTTCCATTGTGGGTTAAAGGAGAATGACAAGTTCAACTTTTTTTTTATTTTTTTTTAAAAATATTTTTTCCCCTTCCACAGGGTTCTTTATTTTCAAAACAAATTTCATCATATACAGAACATCCATATATCATATACAAATAATTAAATAAATAATTTCCATACATAATGGCTTGACATAGATAATAATCATCACATAATCATAATAATAATCATAATAAAAGTTCAACTTTTATTACACACACATTCCTTATATCATCTTTCAACACCTAAAATTACTAGTATGGATTGAGAAATAAATATCCACACAAAACATAAATTACACCCTTGTGGATCTATTCCAGTCAACTCCACGTTTCCCGAAACCATCCGAAATGATTCAATTCCCATCTTCTCGTCAAATGCATACCGTTGTGTAATTGACGCGAGTATGGTGTTACAAAATGGGGCATTTTGGTGACAATTTATCACTCGCTACCTTGCAGCTCGGTTTTCAATTTCACACAAGGCTGCTGATGATGGGGGCTCTATGGTAAATAATGGATATGGATTCAGGGCAGGAAGGTGACCTGTTCAGGGTAAACTTGGGACTGCAATGATGGAGGTATACGGTGGACTCCAGATTATCCTGTTCACCTGTACTACAGAACAAACAAATTGAATCCTCGCTTATTTAATTCATCCTAGCCGTATTGGAAGAGGGTTATACTGGTATAGAAAAACATGAATATTCTAAAAACCACTTGAGGATATAAATTGATACTGGAAACGATCCAAGCCCAGAACGGAAATAAATCAAATATGCATTTGGACTCGTATCTTAAGAATAACCACTTTCCTTTTAAAATGTACATATAACCTGCTGGTAGTCACAAAGGCCTTTGCTCATATCATAAGAGCTAACAACTTTCTGGCTCTCAAGCGACAATATAGCTTAACCAATAATCACAATAGATTAAAATATTCTACTTTTCTTTTTATGAAGCACATATCACATTATGTTCAAATCTGTAGGGCCCTTTCAATTTCATTTGACTTCATTTTTTGTGAAATCATAATTGATAGAAATATTCTATTTTTGTTTATTTGATATCTTAATTGATAGAAATAGTCTTATTTTTATTTATATGATACCATAGTTGATATAAATAGTCTATTTTTGTTTTTATGTAGCACATATATCACATCTGAAGGGCCCATTCAATGACATTCAACTTCATTTTGTGTCATATTACATTTAAATTGAATAAGTATACACAATTCACCTTTGAATATACAATGTACAGTCTACAGTCTACTCCATCAATTGTGCCTCATACTTTTTTTTTTACCCCCAAAATATGCCAGGCACGTGCAGTTTCCCATATGAAATCTTAATAGGAAAAACGGCTGTGCTGATTGAACTTGAGCATTTATGAATGGGGGTCTGGTTTGTCTATTACGTGCCTATTAGTCATCTATTGTTAACGAACGAGGCGTTTAATGATGAAACAGTGTGCGATAGGAAGAACAGAATCGCTGTTTTCCTCATCATTTTCCTGACTTCGGAATGCCTTCACATGCACTGATGGCTCGGTAAGTAGGAAAACAGGCATTGGGAAAGGATATCAATTTATAATGGGTAGAGAAATAATCAAGTAATTGCATAAACATAATTGCGTTATTTATACATATGCCAATAATATTACAAATGAATGTTGTGACAGGTATATGAATATATGGTTTTGAGTATTCTATTGGTACCTTGCACATATTAAGTTATCTTACTCTTAAAGACCGTCAATACTACTGGGCCAGAAGGAATTAGACCACACAGCAAGGTCATTTACAGGTGGCTATCTCATTAAACTCAGCTCTCAACTAACATAAGAAAAAGAGGATCATGGGGGACCAACAGGCACCGATTGGGGAAGTTTTCTATATAGAGGGAGCAAGTAGCTACAAGTAGGACAGTGGGGCTTTAAATGGCAAAGGGCTAAATTACTTTTAAAAAAGAGTGGTTAATTTTTTAAAGTATGTTATAATTTATTGTTTTGGTTTAATTATATTTAGCACACCTTAACACCTGTCCAGAGCCAGAAAGGCATTAATTATGTGTTAAAAAATAACGCCCTTCTGGCTTCAAACAGACGATACATTACAATCTTCCAAAATTGTGGTAGTCAATGAAATTACTATACTTCTCACTATCTATAGTATATTTGAAATACATGAATAGAATTTTCACTGGCTAGATTCTATTACTATCAAAAGACCTTGCCTTAAGAGTCTTACAAATCACTTCAACCCTCTCCAAGAGAGGAAACAGAAAAGATGAGTCCTATTTAAACAAACTGTCACGATTCATCCCTGCCCCCTCGCATCCACTGGAAGCACTCCTTGCTATTATTCTAATTGCTGGAGGCTCCGGCAGAGCGCCAAATATCATATCTCTGCCCGTCATCAGAGAAGGGTTTTGTATCAAGGGGGATGTCTCCTGGATTTAGACATTTAAGCGAGGGGACTGATCAAAGCCGATTGCGACAAAACAGATCCAGCGAGGCGTGTCAGCCTGCAGATTGCTCCTACACGCCAGGGGAAAGATTGGAGTGTATTCCACTAATACTGATTACAGTTGCACCCCTATCCCCCTCCCCCATCGTTTCTATCCCCTCCCCTCCGACCCTCCTTTAAATACACACAGTGAAGCTGCAGAATGTTATTCCATTAACATTAGTCGTGGGTGACAAAATTTCAATCTGTTGCTCCCAATCTGATGAGAGACTTAAGTTTTGATTAGCAATGGCTTGGTTTGTTTGACTTCCCTCTTCATTTCCAAAGGTGAAGTATACTTGAGGTAAAGCTTAAATAAGAAATAAAAGAATCATGCAATGTTCTATGAGTATATGCATGGAAAGCTGGAGAAATTCAGA